TCTTGTACAACAAATAACCACTGGGAAGACAGCATGCAATGTGTTAATTATTGAAACTGTCCTACAAATTTGATTTGAAACTGTCTCATTGCTATTTGTTTCTCAATAACATTATGGAAAAAAAAGAAAACAAAAAGGGTGGTAGAAAGCACAGCTAGAGTAGGGAACAAGGTCTGGAGCCCAGCAATTTCAGAGATGATTTTTGAGGTCTGCACAGTCCTATGAATAACCTACTATGACTACTGGACTTCATTTGATGATTTTGCTGAATTCACGCACCTACAATGTTTAAATGACAATGGAATACCTTTCTTTGACAAAACTAAATGAAAAAGGGGGATATAAATGAAGGACCATTTTGTATCTGTATATACAAAATAGTTAGGATAGATATACAGCTACTTTCTCTTAATTCAATGAGAAGATTTGTACTGATAGTGTTTGGACAGTATATCATGTCTGCACCTTGTACTGTGAATAACTACTATGAAGACAACAATATGCAATGTATTAATTAATGTAACTGTCCTATTATCCTGTTTTGAAACTGTCTCATTAATATTTGTTTCTCAATAAAATTAATAAAAAAGAAAATAACCATGGGTCCATTTCAACTGTGTGGAGGCCTTGGACTCTCATAGTTCTTAAAAACTATCACTAATATCATTGTCTGGCTGACCCAGCAGTTCTTCCTGCCCCTATAGCTGGCTGAGTTTTTTTTTACTTTTTCAGTAGGAGGCTGCACCAACACCCTCCCCTTCCTCTCGCTCAGGTTGCTGGTACTGTGCCTGAAGCTCTACCAGCCCTCATGTCATTGTTTGGGACCTTGGGAGAGGTGGGCTGCCCAGTGATGCCTACCTCAGCTTTCCCCTTCTACAAGAAAAAATTTACTAATTTTAAAGAAAACTAGATTTTCTGTCACTTGTATATTTTCCTAACAGATATGGTAAAGTATGGTTATACTAAGGTTGCTATTGCGATTTGACAGTGTCCCAGCTTTCAAGGCAATAGAACATTTCCAGACTGGGAGTGCATCTGCTAAGTAGCTTCCCAATTTCTAGCTACCATTTTTGTATCCAAGTCCAGTTCTAAGTACCAGATGAATTGGGCCACCCGTATAACCTCATAAGCAGCCTTTTTATGTCTTATGCATTCCAGTAGAGATATAATAAGTACAAGCTTTGTATGAACTGTATGCCATTGTGTTACAATTGTTAAATTTTTATCCAAATGAAATTACTTACCACTTCCTCCCAGACTTTTTAAAAAATGCATTTAGTACAGGGTTTCACTATATAGATCAGACTCATAGTGATCCTCCTGTTTTCAGCCTGCCAAGTGCTGGGATTACAGGTGCATGCCACCATGCCCAGTCTCAATCACTGTCTCAGCCTGGCCCGTGGGCGGGGGCACGGCCAACACAGGATGCCGGGGATTGAACCCTGGTCCCTGCATCTGCCTAAGCAGGCACTTTAATCTGCTGAGCTATCTAGCTGGACCCCAGACATCTTAATATGTCAATATTAAAACTTCTGCTTTGGATGCTCTTCTAAGATTTGGAATTTACAATTTAATTAGGAGCAAAATGTTAATTTGATTTCCTTTTTTTCCCTTCACCTCTATTTTCTAATTCTCTCCCTGTTCACATTTTTCTTTACTCTTCCAACTCTCCATCTACCTCTTTCTTATAGTTTGTCCTTTTATATCATAGTTTGTCCTTTTATAAATGTAGTAGATGCTTTTTAAATCAATATCTTAGAGATTTTTCTTAGTATTTATCTATCTTTATAATACTTTGATGTTTTCCTAAGGGATTTTTTCCTTGAGCACTGGGTACCCTAGCTCACTTTCTCACTGAGCTACAACACCAGCCTTGTCATGTTTTGTTGTTGCTATTGTTCCATTTTGATACAGAATGTTGCTAAAAAGCTAAATTGCTCAGACTGGTCTCAAACTTGCAATCTTCTCTCCTCAGGCTCCCAAGTAGCTGGAATTACAGGTCTATACACTTCACCCAGTCTGTTTCTGTTTTTTTTCCTAGTGTGTTATACAACATGTTATGTACCAGAGCCAGTGGTTGTACCTGTCTACACTCCCACCAACAGTGGAGAAGTGTTCCTTTTCCCCCACAGCCCCTCCAGCATTTGTTACTGATTGATTTCTTGATGATAATCATTCTTTCTTGTGTGAAATGGAATGTTAATGTTATTCTGATTTGCACTTTTAATGACCATTGATGTTGGATATTTTTTTGATGTGTTGTTTTGCCATTTGTATTTCTTTATCTGAGAAGTGTGTATTCATCTCTGATGCCCATTTTTGGATTTGTCCTTTGAATTTTGAGGGGCCTGATTTTTTAAAAATTCTGTATATGTTTTAGATAGAAGTCCTTTGTCTGAGGGACAGTTAGCTAATTTTTCCCAATTTCTGGGTTTTCTTCTTACTTTGTTGATTTACTTTCATGTGCAAACACTTTTCAATGAGATAGATCGTAGTTGTGGATTTTTTGAAGAATTTACCATGCAATTTGGTTTTGGTTCATGAACTCTCTGCCTATCCCTATGTCTTGTAGATTTCTACTTAGTTTCTCTTCCAGCAGATTTAGTATTTCCACTTCAATATTTAGATCATTGATATATTTTGACTGCAATGTATTACTTGGTGATAGACATGGGTCTAGTTTGTATCTTCAACATTTAGAGAGCCAGTTTTTCTACCACCATTTATTAAAGAGGTTGTCTTTCTTCCAGTGAACATGTTGGGACCATTTGTCAAAGATTAGGTGGCTGAGTGTGTTTATAGTTGTGCCTATATCTCCTAATTTGTTCCATTGATTCTTAAATCTGTCTTTTTGCAAGGACCATGCTGATTTTATCACAGTAGCTTTGTAGTATAATTTCAGGTCAGGGATTGTGATGCCTCCCCGCTTGCCTTTGTTGCCCAGGATTGCTTTTGCTATTCTTGGTCTCTTCTGATTACAGATGAATTTTAGGAATGTTTTCTTTAGATCTATGAGATAAAATAGCTTGAGGAGAATGGCTATTTTCACAATGTAGGTTTTTCTTATCCATGAGCATGTACTATCTTTTCATCTTTTGAAATCCTCTTCAATTTCTTTTTTTCTTTTTCATAGTACTGTAATCTTCACCATATACCTCTTTTACTGCCTTTGTTAGATTGATTACTAAAGATTTCATTTATTTTTTTAGGTGCTATTGTGAATGGTATGGCTTCCCTAATCTCCCTGTCAGTAAGTTTGTTGCTTTATACAGAAATGTTATTGATTTTTGAGTACTGACTTTGTATCCAGCTATACTACCGAATTTGGTTATTAAATCTTTTGGTGTAGTTTTTGGGGTCTTCTTTGTAAAATATCATAGCAACTGTGAATAGTGATAGTTTTACTTCTTCCTGTCTTATCCTTATTCCTTCTATTTCTTTCTCTTTCCTAATTTCTTAGGCTAATGTTTCCAGAACTATATTGAACAAGAGTGGCGACAGTGGGCATCCTCATTTTGTGTCTGATTTTGAAGTGAAAGCTTTCAGTTTTTATTTATTTAGTATGATGTTGGCTCTTGTTTTGTCATAGATGGATTTTTTTCAGTTGGGATAAAGATCATCTATTCTGATTTTCTTTTCTTTTTAAAAATGTATTTAGTACAGTGTCTACAGGGTCTACAGGGTTTCACTACATAGATCGGACTCACAGTGATTCTCCTGTTTTCAGCCTCCCAAGCGCTGAGATTATAGGCATGCACCACCATGCCCAATCTCAATCCCTGTCTCAGCACTCCCTGGGGGCTGGGCCTGCATGGCACAGCACGCTGGGGATAGATCCCCGGCTGCTGCGCTCTGCCTAAGCAGGCGCTTTAGTCTTCTGAGCTATCTGGCTGGCCCTATCCTGACTTTCTGTGGGGATTTTAATCATGAATACTGGATTTATGAAGGGCTTTTTCTACACCTATTGAGATGATAATATGATTTTTTTTCTTTGGCTCTGTTAATACCATAATTTACTTATGTTTTCTTGAGTCTGGAGCTCAAATTATATCTTTATCTAGTACAAGACCATGAACACAAGTTTTCTAAACCAGATACGTGAATAAATAGTTAAAAACACATTTATATTGCTTTTTACATATTTATCTTTGATTGTCTTTACTGGCATTCTATTTCTTCATGTGGATTTGAATTATCACTTATGTCTCTCTATTTCAGGCTGGTAGAGGCTTCTTAGCATAGAGCTGTTGGTTGTGAACTCTTTCAGCTTTGTATGTGTCTTGGAACTTTTATTTCTGCCCAAGTCTGAAAAGTTTCATTACTGAATAGACAATTCTTTCAAGTATTTTATGGGCATTTGCCCCACCCTGAACATGTGTGTAGTTTTCTGTTTCTTTAGGACTATGCAAGGGATTTTTAAAGGCTTTATGAATATTTTCCCTACATAGTGCAAGATAAGATTTTATTCTTTCTAAATTGGCATTGTTGTTTTGGACAACTGCTGTGTTAGGTGATTGCTGTTGGTTATGTTAGACAAATGACATACAAATTGGGATTTTTTCCCCACAGAGAAATCTCAGAATCTTCTAATGATAAGGTATGCCATGCAAATAGGACTATTTCAAGGCTACAGCACATGTCTTAGAGCTAAGAAAAGTACTCTGGAAATAGGGAATTTTTGAAGGAGAAGCTTTGCACTATAATCCCTGTGTTCTTTAAAATTTCCTTTTCCTGTTTTTTTCTTTTGTGGAGGAACCAGGGATTGAACTCAGGCCCTTGTGCTTTCCAGGCAAGCACTTATTCTACTGAGCCATCTCCCTGGCCCCCTCCTTTTCCTGTTAAGTGTATTACTTCGATAATAATTAAAAGACAAAGCAGCTAAACCTTTACACATAAACTTTCACTTAACTTTTGTGTCACATATGCTTTGTTACTTATTAAAAAATGGATGATATTTAATGAAGCTGGAGCAAAAAGGACAGCGCTATTTTATCTGAGAGAACCCATGGATTCCTACCCAGAAAAATAGGCCAGGAAATTCTCGGAATCATAGTTGACATAGAATCTCAGAATTCCTCAGTTACAATGGAGAAAGAGAAGAAAATACATCTCAAGAGAGAACTTGGGTATTTCTGGGTCACAAATTTTTTAATTGTTAACATAATCGGTGCAGGGATTTTTGTGTCCCCCAAAGGGGTGCTAGAGCACTCTTCCATGAATGTGGGGCTCTCCCTGTGTATCTGGGCTCTGTGTGCTGTGCTATCCATAACTTCCACTCTCTGCGCTGCCGAGATAGGCATCACTTTCCCATGCAGTGGAGCTCACTACTATTTCATCAGGAAGTGCTTCGGCCCCATCGCTGCTTTCCTGAGGCTCTGGACGACCTTGTTTACCACGGCGGGTATCCTTGCCAGTCAAGCCCTACTGCTTGCTGAGTATAGCATTCAGCCTTTTTATCCAGGTTGCTCTGTCCCCAAGCTCCCCATGAAATGTATGGCCCTGGCTATGTTGTGGATTGTGGGAATTCTGAATTCCCGTGGAGTGAAGGAGGGGACGTGGCTTCAGACGCTGAGCACGGCGCTGAAAGTGGGTATCCTTGGCTTCATTTCCCTCAGCGGTGTGTTCATGCTAATGAGAGGGGAGATAGCGAATGTGGAAAGGTTGCAGAACGCCTTTGATGCTGAATTTCCGGATGCTTCCCAGATAATTGAAGCCGTCTTCCAAGGATATTTTGCATTTTCAGGCGGGGGATGCTTTACAGGTGTGGCAGGTAATTATGAGAAAATAAGAGAAAAACAAACAAACCCTACATGCTCAGGCCATGAATTATTGCGTGTATTCTGAAATATATATCTTTTGATTGCATTTTAAGTTTTATCTAAAACAAAGAGTTTAATGTTTTTCTGCTTTTTGCTTTTCTCAATCAGAACATGTCAGGTTATACTGCTGCCTACTCAGAATTCTATTTTCCTTTTATTACAAAATTTTATTTTATTGAACAAATTTGCTTTAAAAACTTTCTTTCTAGGGCCACAAATATGGGACTTATGACTTAATCTAATTTCCTTTCTGTTAACACATGAATACCTGGGCTGTGGAAATATTTGCCTTCTATGAAACCATGAATCTAGGAACAATCTAATGCCAAACTTTATTGAAGTTTGTAACACTTAAGTATTTTTTTTACACTTAAGTATTCTTATTAGTTGATTCTTTTCAAAATTTTATTAGTATATGTTAGCAGCATATAATGATTATGTTCATTGTGGGGAGTTGGTACACATTTTAATGCCTTTTGTTTTTTATCCCATAATTTTATTGATAAACAAATAGCAATGAGACAGTTGCAAATCAAATTGGTAGGACAGTTTCAATAATTAGCACACTGCATACATTCTTCCTAGTGGTTAATTTCTGTACAAGATTTGGACTTGAGATCCTATTTACCAACATCGTTAGAACAAATCATTCTATTCATTAAGAGAATGTAACTATATATCTATCCAAACCACTTTGAATACACAGATACAATCGTCTATATACCCTTTTTTTTGTTAAGTTCTGTTATTTGAATATTATAGATGTGTAAACTCAGCAAAATATTCTAAAAGAGTCCAGTAGCCCATAATAGCATTG